AGAGATCATGGAACCCCGGAGATTTTTGCTTATTAATATTATAAACACATTCTATTTCCCTTAAGAAATAAGAAAAAAAAAATTTTCTGTTCTTCGTTAATTTCATATTACATGCTTGGATACGCAGATTTGGTGACGTATATGTGCGGTACAGAAAAATCGAATGAGAGTTTATTCATGGACCAATGATACGTTTTTTAATCGAGTTAGTGAATGGAGTTTTTGATTGCTATGAAATTCCGTCACTCATAGATTGTAAAGTTGGTAACTAGTCATTTTAACTTAGGCACGAATAAACAAATGACTTAAGTATTTTCTAAATTAATTTATGTTTCTTCAATATTCTTCTCTAGTTTACATGAACAAAAAATCGTAAGATCTCATCAGAAACAGCCCCATTTCTTTGAGCAGTACAAAAATGTGCATCGAGCATAAATAATGACAATGATAGAACTACAAAAAGTCTATAAATCATGAAAGCATGAAATTTCGAACATATTTAAAATACGTAAGTTCATTAATAATTAACAATTTATTTTAAATAATGTTGATTCTTAGATTTAAATTATTGGTGTTCACTGATTTTAGGACTTTTTGTGATGACATTACCTTTACATCATATTAGTACATGTATTACTTATACACAAATTACTCGTTAAAATCTGGAACATCATCAGTTCTCCATACGGGTTAAGCATTATTTAAGCATGGATGACTGAAGTCAGTTGAGATCATGGTGCTGACATCCATTTAATATCTCGAAACTAATTTACCACGAAAATCATGCTAAACCGTAGTTTTTTAATTTCGTTTCAATAATCGCATCTTATTACCTGAAATTTTTGAAAATTCGGAAGATGGCGAGAATTGCGCTAGACAACATTTAGGAGTTGAAGTTACGTAGGGATTAAATGATTCACGATTTTTTTTTATAACCTTGCAGCAACTATTTTAGCGACGAAGCAAATCCATGGAAATTACTCAATTTTTTTTTTACTTTCTCTAAAAAAAATCATATGCATAATCGAAATCGTAATCTGATTCATTGCAACATAAATCCGTATGGTTAATTCTCGATTTTGTTATTCAATGATATATATTACTTGCAAAAACTATTATTATTTCATTTTTTCTGTTTAAATTTTAATGGATTGTAGGGATATTTTCTATTGATATTTTCAGTAAAATTTTCTACTGTAGAATTTTTTTTTTACGCATCTTATGTATCTTAGAAAATTATTCGCTGTCAGAAACAATATCACTTGCACTCTTATTACAAGTTTAGTGAACAAACACCACAACTTAAAACACTTCTACGTTTTTTACACAAACTAATCAACTTAATCGTTCCTCGAAGAAGTTTAAGAAAATACTAAAATTGAATATGCACGGACCTTAAATGTACCCGAAAAGTGCGTACTCTTAAATAGAAGAGAATGATTTTTTTCGTCGATAATGGGAATTGAGGCTAGTTTTATTACTGTATGGAATTTTTTCGTGTGAAAACAAGACTACGCTTACGTGTTCATTGATAGTTATCCGAATCGTAGGCATATGTCGTCGGAAAATTAGAGGTTCTTTTTTTTGGGGAGATTTCACTAAACATGCTTGGTAAAATTTACTCAGATGATTTTGTAATGATTCATACGCGTAGTTTGTATAATTTTTCAGATTTTGAAAGTAGCATGCGGTTAACATAAAGTTAAGGGTATTTTTTCACAACAACTTTTCTTAACAAGGGTATCAAAGACAAGTATCGGTAAAAGATACTAAAAATCTCATTAATAGTCGTGGTGAGAGATAAAAGGTTCTGTACGATTCTAAAAAATCATTCACTTATACTAACAGAAAGTACCATAATGTCAGGTTTAAAATTTCTGAGTAACTAGTAATTTTTATAGTCAGCGAAGAATTACTATGACACGAAGTTATAGATTCAGGGAAAGATTACGTCTTTCTGATAGAAACCTCTTGTGAATTTTCTCTCAGTGGATTTTAAACAACAGCTGCATGAGAAGCCACTATGCTGGTATGCATTAATTTTAGAAGGGCTAAAAAGATTTTTTGACAGCGGTTTCTCATGAAGGTTAATGAGGAGAGCATTTGTCCTGAATATCATTGTTTAGAAATGATTTTTACTATTATTTATCAATTATATGATAATTTAAGTATATTCTCTCGCCGACTTTTTTGTGAAGAATTTGATTCCCTACAAAAAAGGTATCCACAATGAACGGTTCTCGCTATGTAAGCAGTGAAAGGTCAAAAAATGCACTTTGCCACATTTCAATTATTAATAAATAATAGTAAAAATCATTTCTAAACAATAATATTTAGCTAAACATGAATCTGAGGTTATATTGACGAAAAGTAAAATGGCGGTGCAAGATTTTGGACATGATATGTGAAACTGAAGTTTTATTTTAGACTAACCAGACAAACATTATTTTATTGCATATTTCAGTCTGAATATTTGTACACGAGGGTTTTGAGGTTCGTAGATCACAAAACCAAAGTTATATTTGCAAAATTTAAAATGGCGAATCTAAGATGGTGGAAAAATATGTATTACTGGCAATCGGACAAATTGGATCCACTATCTTGAATATGAAAAGTACCGAAACACTAACATTAGACTCGTGATCTGTGACCTTGAAAACCTCTATGAAACCAAATATTTCGGAATTTGATCGAATTCTACGAATTTAGTCCGCTATCTTTGATCCACTCTTTTATAATTTGTAAATCTAACCTCAAATTTGTAATTAGCCACCACAAAAAGACAATCAAGTACAAAAATTCAGACCATAACATGCAATAGAATTATGTCTGATCGGTTGGTCTAAACGATTCTATTGCACAAAATTTAGGCTGCCATCTTGGATTCCGTAATTCTAAGCTCATATTCGTGATCATCATCCCCAAAAACCTCGGTATACCAATTTTAGTGAAATTTGATTGAAGTTTACAAATATGGTCCGCCATCTCGGATTTGAAAATTATAACAATAGAACCTCAGATTCGTGATCAGTGGCCCCAAGAATCACCGAGTACAAAATTTTAGATTAAAATATGCAGTAAAAAAAAGCATGACTCAACGGGTAAATCTTCACGAGAAACCGCTATTAAAAAATTTTATTAACTTTACAATGAGAGCAGACATGATTTGATGGCAACAATTTCGATATGAAATCGATTCGTTCAAAAGGAAAATACGATTTACAAAATATTTTCGTGTTAGTCTAATAGCCGTAAGTTTAAGCCCTATGGTATAGTACATCAATTATAGAATGAAAATAGATCTTTTTTGGTTGCAAATGATTAAAAGGGGTAATGAGGAGAGCAATAATCTAAATTTTTATTGCTTGTGTTTTTTTACCTTTCAACGCTTACGTAGCGAGAACGGTAACGGTTACAAAAAAAAATTGATCTTCTCCGTAGAGAATCGAATTCTCTACATAAATAGTCCGTGAGAGCAGAATATACTGCTAAGTGCTTGTTTAATTAATTAATCTTTTAAATAATCTTATGACGAATTGGTGAATAATAGAATCACTTTCTAAGTCGTATTTTCCTATTGTGACCTATTTATCTCCTGTTAGATAATCAAAAATTAGGTTTGATACAAGAAAGTCTAGATTAAAAGAATGTGTTATTTCGGAATACGTTTTACTAGTTTTCATTTATGATAAAAAAACTTAACCCTACAAAATACATTGACTTACTAATAACTATGAGCAAGTTATCTTATTGTTTATTGATAAAGTGTAAGAATTGTCTAAACAAAACATCAATTACTACACAATTAACTTCTGTAGTGATAGTCACACATACAACTGAGTTGTTCGTTCGTGGGTTTGTAAGTGTGCCTGTGCGTGAGGGTCTATGGCGTCTTCACCGGACACAAAGTTGCTCTACCTGGACCACTAACAGTGTTTAGACTGATTAGTTTAGTTCATGTTTGTTTATTAATTGTTTAATGAGATGTCAGGCTACGAATCTCACGATTGAACTTGAGTTTTACGCACAAATTGATAACTCTGTTGTGAGACTGACTGTGAGAGTCAGTTGTGAGAGAGTTAACTGCGCGAATTGCCTGGATCTAACTGATGCTAAAAGTATCTGTCTGCGTGCTCGTTGGCGTTGTTAGGAATATAGAGTTGTCTGCTGGGCCATGAGAGAAATAATTCATTGTGATAGGTCCCGTGAGTCGACTTATGCGCCGGTGGACAAGTCCAGCATTAAACAAATTCAAATATTCTTAGACTGACCGGCTTAGGGTCCTCCGAGTCAAGACGATAGGAAAGTTCAGAATTCTATAGGTTTCACGATCACTATTTATATACCTATTCAGACTTTTATAGTCCTATTAGTCTTTTTTCAGGTGGCAGAAATTTATCAACTTTACCTATCCAAATGTGATGTTTCCTATTTTAGCGGTTGAGTAGAATTCCTCTTCTTCTGTCAGTAGTTAGAAGCTTTTATAAAGTTACATAATGTAACATTGTCATAAAGTATATTTATCATTATTTATTCATATAAAGGCCATTTCATTGTGATAAAAATCATGATACCTGTAAATAAACCCAGGTACTGTATTTTTTTCACTAGCAATAAGACTTTGCCCCATTTTTTTTTATTTGTGAGGACGTTACAAGCCACGTGACCATTGACTTAGCTGTCAATTGCGTCATCAGTGATCGTCAAAATTTATATTTCTCATTAAATATTGTCAAATATTTAACATTAATTAAACCCCATAGAAAATTATTTTGGGTTACAAAATTTTCAAGAGCATACAACAATTACAATCATTAAAAAATAGATCATTCCAGAAAGAAACAGTTTTGATTTTTAGTTTCTCCCAGTGATGATTGTACTACATTTTCTCAGTTATTCGCTATGAATCACGATCCCATTTAAAGTTAGATGTATACAATAGATTTATATTTTTAGTCACAATATACTAATGATTAATATAAATAATTACCATTAAACAGCTCCATACGTCAAAGTTTATCTTGTCAACGGAAAGAAATGTATAGCCAAAGCAAAAACAACAACAGCGAGAAAAACACTAGAGCCTTTTTACCAACAACCTCTTGCATTTCGGGAGAATTTCCAGGGTTGTATACTACAGGTAAATATTTTCAATATTCATTTTTCTTTATCAATTAATTATTTGAGCGAGCATCTTATGGAATATAAAACAATATAGTTAAAAGTAAATTGTTATTAAAATCTTAAGAATATAGATTATTCTATTCGTACTGGAATGACGTGCATAAATTAAAGAATAAGAACAAAAATTTCTTGGTTACATATTCTTGTAGATGATGATAAAGAGAGTATTTGTGCAAATTTTTATTACTCAGAAACAATAATTACTATTGTTTATTGAGTGTCAAAGTTTGGCAAATTGCGTTTTTCCACCTTTCACCGCTTACGTAGGGAGAACGGTAGGAGATATAAAAAACATCTTTTTTGTAGAGAATCGAATTCTGATTAATATCATGTTTGGTTGTGAACAATAATATCTAGTCAATATCGACTTTATTTTCAAATGAAATTGTTATTGTTTGGCTTAAAAGTATTTCAAATAGCTTATCTTTTTATTTCTTTCTTAGTTATTTTGTTATAAAAAAAAAACGGCTCGATCGAATTCGTTCAAATTCCTTTCAGGTCTTCTTTATAATAATATATTTCGAATTAATTTTGGTTGAAGTCGATATCTCAATTCGTTCTTGAGATATCGAAAACGAAAAAAATGCTGACGTTCGTACATACATACATACATAAATACATAAATACATACATACATACATACATACATACATACATCCATACATACATACATACATATATACATACATACGTCCACACACACATCATTCTAAAAATATGTCAGTATGCTTGCAAATATCTTGAAACATGGAGATTTAATAAAAATGCAAATTTCACCAATCGACCCAATTACAATAACTTCCTAATGGAAAGTTAATAAAGGTGCAAAGTTCACGTAAAAATTAAAAAATAAACGACGCTCCAGATACTATGAAAAATCGAGAAATTCTTTTTTGTTTTCAATTTTAATTGGAGAATGTTCAAAAAAAGATTCTAAACATTCCAGAATTTTTCCAGACTTTCTTAGATATTGGAAATATTTTTTTTTTTTTTATGTTAATTGAAAAGGCTCTCACCTGCATATTTTGTCGGAGCGCCTGAAATGCTCGATTTTCAGCGTGCCTTCTACTGTACATTTTCATCTGTCCACGATAGACAGGTGCTCTCGCTGACTTTTTTGTAGAGAATTCGATTCTCTAAAAAAAAAGATTCTCCCTACGTTCTTCCTACGTAAGCGGTGAAAGGTGGAAAAACGCAATTTGTCAAACTTTGACACTCAATAAACAATAGTAATTATTGTTTCCGAGTAATAAAAATTTGCACAAATACTCTCCTTATCACCCTACAAGAATTTGTTTGTTGCGGTAATATTACGTGTTCCTATACTCTCCTATATGAAATTACGATAACATTTATTTTACGTAGTGTATAAGTGTAATTTAAACGAAATCATAGAAAAATTCGATTGATCGACAACAAACGCTATGATTAATCAATACAAAAACTACCCGAGCAAAATACTTGAAAAGATGATATGGATACAGATTCTAGATTGTTCAAAAATATCAAATATTATAATTCTTCAACACCTTTAAATGACTAAAACATTACACGCAGAGAAATGTATAGTAAAAATTACCCTAAATTTTATGGTAATTTGGTGACACTGCAGGGTGACGATAAAAATTACTGTGCACATTGTAAAAATTACTGTGCACATTGTTGAATTTACCAAACTGCATAGTAATTTTTAGGGTGAAATTAGAGTAAAAATAACTATGCAGTTTAGTAAATTCAACAACGGCAATTTTTGCATAACTAAAAAGTTATTACTGAAAATGTGTAGGTTTTCATAAGAAATAATTATTTATATCAAAAAACTCAATGACGCGTACATTTTTCGCCTGCGATTAGTTTTTTTCGAATTCTAATGGAATTTTACATACAATAAACCTTGGTTCAAAATGGGAGGTTAGATTCGCTAAGTAAATTGCACCTTTACTGGACCAAGAGTGAAGTTGGCCCCTCCACATAGTTGTAATAATAATAATTCCTTCGATTTGAATAATCAATGATAACAGAAAAGCTCTGACGATCAAAACAAGAGAGTATTCCCAAATAAATACTACAAAGATTACCAAGGTCCATTTTTCATTCACAATTAAGAGTAATAGAACTTATCAGATTAGTTTTTTCTATTTGTTGAAGAGTGAGATTTTCCTTGTAATGCACTTGAGTTGGAATTATATATATAATATCTGCACAAGTTTAGCCTCAGCAAAATTTTATTATTTTATTTTTACTTTAAAGGATACGAAAAAATTTATAGGCATGAAAGTAAATGATAAATTGCTTAGTTTCGTGTTTAATTTGCGTTGAATAATAGTGATTTTTATCAAAAATAAAATTCTTGATGGGTAAAATTTTTTTGGGACAATTCTTGTTTACCTCTCGGGAGTTTCACTCATGCATTACTTTTATCGCAAAGACTCACAATATCATACAGATATACATCAATCTCCTGAAGATAAATATGCATAATTTTTGTCACTATTATTATATCTTAAAATATTCATATTGTGTTGTAAAATAGAAATATTTGAAGAAAAGAAGTAAGTCTAGAGTTTACTTTCTTGCATCAGTTAAGGTTAGTCGTCGTTAACGATTGTCTTGATCTCAATCATTCTCTTGATTGATGAGTCAATTGTAACTGCAAGAGGTTCTAGACGCAATAACACTGGAGTTCACAAATGAATTTAAAATTAGTCGCTAGACGTCTGGTTAAGATTATTCGCATTGCAGGAAATTGATAAAGAGTTGGAACATTTGTAAGAAGATTTTTCCAAAATTGTTAATTTGGCTATTAGGGTAAATGAGGACTTTGCATTCCGGTTGGGATTTAAATTTAAGCTAATGCTCAGTGCATGAGAAGAAGAGCTAGAGAGAAGATTTTGACTCACAAAGAAACCTCGCGAGGTGGTCACCGTCGATTTAGCTGGGGCTTCTATATGATCGACGTCGAAAATGATGAACCACAAATTTTTTTTCCGCAGAAAAATGTTTTGAAAGGGTGAAAATCACCCCCAAAGTTGACACCCTATAATACAACACCTATTAATACACTTATTCATTTTAAAAATTCGATTTTGTATATCGTGAGTTATGAAATTTTGAATGTGAAGTACCACTCGCATGTAAAAAAATGTATAATTAAAAAATTACTACGTTTTACAGCATAACATAGAATTTTTGATGCAATTATGCTTAAAACTAATTAGTAGGTAAACATATACTTAGAACTATAGCTGTAAAATATATAAATTAATTTATTCCTTGTCGTTGATTAAAGTGTGAGATTGTGCAACGTTGGATAATTTTTAAATGAAATAAGATTGGTAGAATTGAAAACGAGATAGTAGCGCACCTATAGTGATACACCGAAAACGGTTAACATTAACCTAGATCATTTTTTATGTGGGTCTCGTGAGTTTTCAATTAAATCATTATGGATAAAATTAAAAAAATTTTCATGTGGAAAAGAAAAAGAGTCACAGAAAAAGTGTATTTTAATAAACTACGTTTAGTGGAAATTGGGAAAAATCTACGACAAAATTCTATTTAAAAAATTGGATCGTTTGAAGAAAATATGAATGATGGACGTTGTATCATTCATATTGATACTTTTGGAAATAATCAGCATTGTCAAAACTGTGGTGGAATGATTATTTTAGATTTAGAATAGGATCAGTATAAAAAGGTGCAGTGATTATTTTTCCGATTAAATGTCGGCAATGTTTGACAATAAATCATTTTTCTACGGATAAAACTCATATGTCAGCAACGGAATATGGAAAGCTACGGTTCGATTTGAACACAAAATTAGCTATAGGTAAGTGTAAATAAAAATAATCCATTTTTGCACTACTCTGTTCTTATTATCTGCAATGTATTTTGTAAAATGACTCATGTAAATTGGATCAAATTACAGGCACTTTACACGGTGGCATGGAAAATGCTCAAGTTAATAAACTTTTCGCAGCTATGAATATACCGCTAATATCAACAAAAGTTTTTAAAAGACATGAGAGAGAAGCAGGTACAGCCGGTAAAGCATTGACGAAAGATAGTTCCATGGTGGCAACTCGTTTAGAAAGGAAACTCACAATTAAAAATAAAGAAACAATTATGAAATTACTGTAAATACTGAGAAGTTACATTTTTTTCAAGTGTAGATATGTATGTGTGATATTTTACATACATTATTTTTATGAATTTCGATGACAGAATAAGAGCTGTACAACGTATTCGTTGCTATATATTATTATAATGAATCATGATGATTGTCTATTTATAACTTTATAATCGATTTTTTTATGCAATTTTTTTGAAAATTTCTCACATACATATTTACATTATACATACATTTTTTTGAGCCATACACGTATATTATTAATTTGTATAAAAATTGATATTTAAATGAATTTTATTTACATCGTATTGAAATGTTTACATAATTATAATGAGACGACTTTTTGTTTTCTTTTTTTCACAGTCCTACCCACATAAAATCAGGATTTATTATTCCTGATTCTCTTAATTTTAATAAAGGGTCTATTATACGTTTCGTGGCTTCTTTCGATTTGGGTTAGTCAACCAGAGGAAATGGAAGGCAATACGATAGCCTCAATGGGTTCGGTGCATTCAAAGGCAGAGAGACCGGAAAAGTTTTAGACTATATATCTATGCACAGAAAATGTCGATTGTGTGATCTTGGACATAATCCTAACGATCATGACTGTAGACTCAATTTTGTAGGTAGTGCTAAGGCAATCGAACCAGCAGCTGCGGTTACTGTCACTGAAAAAAGTGATTCTTTGAAAGCATGTAAAATGGAACTCGGAGTTTTAGTCGGTGATGACGACTCTTGTACGATTGCGGCTGTACGTAATGTAAGCAATCATGATATTGTCAAATTGTCGGATGATCCGACTCGGATCATAATCATACCTGTAAGGG